ATCTCAGTGTTCTGGAGACCCAAAACTGTAATTTAGATAACATGCCTAAGTTTTACCTAGGTTACCCAAGGACTATAGACAATGTATTTACCCAAAACTGTAATTTGGATAGCATGCTGTCTCTGCTTCTGTAAATTGCTTTTTTTTTTGCAAACTAGGTTCCTCATTCCAAACCTTGAGACAGCCAGTTTAAAATTAAGTTGTCATGACCTAAAGCAAAGAATATTCTTACATGGTATTATTCTACAAGTTTCATTAATAATTTTTGATGTTTTACAACAGTATATTGTGCATTTATCCCAAACATACTTACAAATTAATTCTTTGAATGTTTTAAAGACATGAAAGAATTTATTCCCTTCCACTGTGTGGAAGACCCCCTGGGAAGGCACTTAAGCATTCTGTATTGACCTCTCTTGACCTTTTTGCCAAGAGGGTCCCTCTTCTCACAATCCAATTGCCTACAGCTGTTACCTAAGCTCTCCGTTCAAGCTGAGATCATGGTGGCTGGTACCATGGATCTGTCTCTTGCCCAATGGCGTAAGCTGGGCCCTCTCTGGAAAAGAAACCTGGGTTCCCCATGATCAATGTCGTGGCCCCGCCAGCAGGCGAGGGGATCCAAAGGCAGTTGCTGGGCGTGGAGGCCACAGGGGCATAGGCTAACAAGGAGACAGAACTGAACCTCACATCACCCTACTTGGCCCAGAGGATGGCTGGTAGTCAATGACGGGTAAGACCCCTCAGGGAGGGGCAACCTAAGACAGGCACTGCCGGTAGCCAGTAGGAGAAAACTTGGGGTTCAACAGAGGTGGGGCACAGATCCTCACCCCCTCAATTGTGCAGGGGCTTGAACACTCGCCCCTTCTGAGGGAGGTCTCCTGCCCCCATGGCTGCTGTGCTTCCCATGCCTAGCTCAAATCAGGACCCAGATAGAAAGAGACTTGGCCCAGCTGAGATCGGGAACAGAAAGAGACTTGGTCCAGCTGAAATCAGTACCCAAATAGCGAAGACTTGGCCAACAGCAGCTACCCTATATCTAACTACAGCCTAACAGAAATGATCAGAGCCTTCCCAAGGGTGCAAAGTAATCCTTTCCATTAATATTTACAATGCAAACTAAGATTGATGTTAGAGTATTAAAGTTTTCACATTAATTAAAATTGGCCTAAGAAGTATTAACCAAATTTTTCATTTAATGGTAAAATTGCTTAACATGCCATGAACCTAATGCAGTCATATTTTTGTGCAAAAAGTTGGAATTTAAAGTTATCTAGACTGCATTGTAAGTTTTCTGAAAATCCTCCTAATAATTAAATCAAAAAGGGGGTTAGTGGAAAAATACCATGTAAAGAAAAATATCCTATAACTAAATTTCATTTAGATAAAAAATTTTCATTTAATGCTAATAGCAAGACACCCAGAAAAAACACATGATGTCAGGGAAAGCCAGGAGAAGATCATTTCAAAGAAAAAACCCCAAGTAAGATTTTCTTTATTAACCTTTGGTCGAGACTACGTTTGTATATTTTCAGAACAGCTCCCAGACCATGTGGATTCCTGCAACAATGGATCCCAACTGACCAGATTGCTCCAGCCACAAAGACAGGAGAGACAGTTCAGAGATGGAGATGGTGAAGACGCCTTGTCATGATAGCAGTCAGCACCTATGCATTGCTGCAGGTTTCCCAGGACCAAAAGCAAGGAAGAAGGAGCAATGCAGCCAATTTGGGTGCCAGAGCATTACATCCGTTACCACAATGGACTCAGACAAGCTCCTGTGTCCATTCACTCAAAAGGACTAAGTACTGTCCTAATGACAGCAAAAGGGAAGAAAAAGAAAACTGAAAGACGCAAGGGACTGTTGTGCCAATATGGAGTCATCTGAAGAAGTTAACGACTGAAGCACAACAGATTGTGGAAAAGCAAGAAGTTGAAGCTACTTCTTCAACCATGTTCCTACTCATGCTAGAATCTGTTAACTGCCAGTCTTCTGCAAACTCTTGTGCAGCCAAATCCAAGGACTCTGAGTAAATATACACCAGCAGCAAAAGAGACTTGTTTTTTTTTTCATTTAGTAGCAAAAATGTTAATACGTCCATAGTTCTGATTTCTCATATTGTTGTTTTGCATTGGCATTGTTTTGTTATTTAATAGCCAGTTTTGTTCTTAACGTTCAAATTTTGAAAATGATAACATGTATGTAGTTTAGTTTTTGCATTTGCATTGTTTGCAATTGTTTTAATTCTAGAGCCCTACTATTAATGTTTAAAATTTTACTTTTATTATAGTAG